CCCCCCCCCCCCCCCCGTCGGAGCCACTCACGGTTCCATCCCGTGCCCTGTTCCCAGCTGGGCAGCACCTGCCCCAGCCCCAACCCCATTTCCTCCCTCACCACAGGGGTCTCAGTCTACCCCCTTCTCCTTGCCCCTTCTCTCCCCTCCTTCCCGCTTCCCGCCAGCAGACTTGACAGCCAGACGCTGCTCTCCAAGCTTCCAGGCTGCATATTGGCAATTGGATTGGTATTGGCCAATATTGCTTATTAATAATTGGTCATCGGTATCAGCCCAAAAAATCTTTATTGGTGCACCCCTACCTAAAATTTGTTTTTTCTCCAGCCCAGCACAGCCCTGTGTTGCATATCTTTGGCAACATGTAGGGAGTGCATGTGCACCCCTTGAGATTGGCAGTGCAACTTCCGGACCCCCCTGCCCCCTGGTTGGCGATCGGTCAGTATTAGGAAGCACCAGTCACCCATGCAGATCAAAGCAAAGTCAATAGGTAAGCTGTTTGTACTGGGTATTATTACTTCTTTTCTGTGCAAAGCACCTGTCACATTTTGGATGCTATTGTAGTACAGTGAATAATCCATTCTTTTTGCCTTAGATTCTTGCACGCTTACTTCTGTAGAAGGCATTAGCCTTTCAGATTGATTGAACTACTTTGGGTAAGCACACTAGCCAGTTATTTCTTCCAAAGTGGGCATCAGTGAAATAGTTAATGAAAATATATCTAGTTTCATCTAGCTCCAGGATTAAGACTCTGAGATGAAGGGGGGCAGGCTTGCTTCTGCCTGACATTCAGTTTTTCAGTCTCTGTACAGAATTGGAATGCAATTAGTGTCAGTTCATTTTTGCGTCGTTACGTTTACAACAAAAAGGGTTGTAAGCAGAGGGTAAGGAAGTTAAACACTTGCATGTATGTAACTGGCCTGAATGTTTCTGGAGTACTTAGACATTGTGGTTCTTGATGAAGCCAGTTCCATCATTGCCAAACTCTTCTGAAGACCCAGCTGCTTTGTTGCAAGCCCCATAAATATGGATTTAGGTGCCTAACTTGAAGCACGCACACTTGGAAATTTGGGCTTTGAAAAAATAAAAGCCTTTAATGGGCATAAAATATTAATACCTAGTGCAGGAGAAGCACAGAGATTCTGTGCACGTGACTTTTGAAAATAGCTGGTAGCAGAGTGCCTGTACCCTTAAAAGAGAAACTTCAGAGTTTTATTCTTAACTATTAATTTTTCTTGTAATGCTGGAGTCAGAAAGTTAATGCTGATCTAATGGAGCTTTTTGCATATTAATATATTGATACACTAAAAGTTCTGACAGGTTATAAAACTTCAGGAATTTCCAAGACATCGCCTCCTCTTTTAATTACCCTTTCCTTGTTATATGCATGTTGTCCTCCATGTTCTGAAATTGGACACAGACAAATAACAGTCTTGTTTGCCCATCACTGAGTGATGCTATCAAACTGCAGAGACCTTACCACATTTAGAAAAGTATTTTGGTTGCCTGGATGTCAGAAGAATAACAAATGTTTATAACAATTCTCAGCAGTAGGCAGAGATATTGGATGGCCTAAGGGCAGAAAAGGCTATATATATGTACAACAGCAGATGAATTGCAGCACTTGAGGTGGGGGGGATTTAACTGAAGCAGCAAAGACATATCCAACAAGAAATGATGGAAGGTCTTGATGGGGTGAGCAGACACACATGCATATGCACTGCAGGAAGCTGCCAGCAGTTTAAATTTTTTAGGAGGTTTGTATTTGGTCTCTGTTGCACAAGTAGTAAAGCTCATAGATAAAAGCTGTGAGCACTGATTAAACATAGAACTTTGTGTGGTGGTTATCAAATGCCAAAGAGCCACTTTGTACAACGCTGTGTTGATGTAATTGCAGCACACAAATCAAACTGAGCTTCAAAAACCGTGCCCTGT